TACCTGAAATTCAGGAAATGGCAAATTAGGGTGGGATTGTGGATTTTGTACAAACGTATACAGAAATCCAAGGTCACCCTTTATATTTGGCCCTTGCCTTTATAATTTCCAAACAAACAATTGTAGAGGAGAACAAAGCTAAACTTGTAATAAAATCCAAATATTTGGTGGGTCAGAATTGCCGTTGAGCGCACATTCGCGGCCGTGTGAGCCCGAGGGTCACGTGACCTCAGCAAATATATTAACGTCAGCAAAAAATACCTGTATGAAGGACTAAATGTCTGTAGAGACGACTTGTTACATTTTTTTATAATGTAAAAAAACTGTTTATCTTAAATATACTGCCTTTTCTGCCAATAAAAACATACTGATTTTTAACAATTCCTATACCCCTAATGTGTTATTATAGGTACTTGTCTTGTATTGCATAGTTATGTCTTAAATTGGGGGTTAATACGGGGTTTTCCCTTGTTCAGTAAAAAAAAAACAATTTTTATTTTATTTTAACTGCCTGGAAGGCCGAGTGCAAATGGCGTAGCAAGAATATTGGGGTTCGATTCCCGAGTAGGAACAATATTGTTTGTTTTTCTGTTGACTAAGTGCGTATCGTAACGTAATTTAGCATTGTGTATGATTTATGACAATAGAGTCAAGAACAATTCTTGTAATATGTGACGGGCGAACATTGGCAGTACATGTATCCTACTAATATTATAAATGTGAAAGTTCAAGAGAATATATACACTACACAGATAAACCCTGAGAGGTTTGAGTTGTGTGGCTCCATTATAATCTAAAGAAGATAATATGTTTCTAGAAAAAAAAAATATTTTTCTCGCAAAAACAGATGGACAGATTTAGTTGGATTAACAAGTCGGCTACTTTTATCTAACACGCAGGCGGAGCCGCAGACGAAAGTTAGTGTTATAATATTATGTGCATTCGGAAATGGAAGGAGAGTGACTTTCGTGAGACTATTTAAACGACATTCTAAATTAATGTTTTCGGCTTTCTCACGTAATAATTTGACGAGATACTCGACTAGTTTCAAGCCTAATACTAGTCGAGTATCTCGTCAAATTCCCTCGAAAACATAATAATTAAACGAGAGTGACGTTTAAATATTTTTTTTCATTTACAAATGGCGTTTGGCCCCTATCTCGCTTGGTGGTAAGCACGGAATAGCGATGAAGCGGCCTACGATGGAGCACGCTTAGCGATAAGCAACTATGGCCTTAAAAGAACTTCGGAATAGAATTTTCTCCATAGCGGTTCTGATGAAAAAAGTTGATATATGCACTGTAGAAGCCAACTTTTTGCTTTGAGAGTGACAGTGGCTTGTTATTGAAGCGCGGGAATGTCTGACTCTTACTGACTAAAGATCACACCGTTCCTTCTCCTGCTTCGAGTTGAGGCCACGGACCTTCGTAGTTGAGGACCTTAGATTTTTATTATTATTTTATTTCAAAATGGGCAGACATTTTGTCACTATCACGCCTGATTGTAAACGATGATGCGACCTACGATGGAGCATTCCTACCCAGGATTTGTAGACACCTAGGTTATTATACCCTTCGGGGAACACAGAGCCCGGCTAAGTTTTTTTTAATTCTTATTAATTTCACTAGCTTAGATTTCTAGGCCCTCTCATTAACATCACCAGAGAACAAAAGACACATTTGTCATAACAATATTCGTTCAAAAATAAAATAGAACTGGGAAAATTTAATTCAGAAATATAATACTTAATTGTAGAAATGAAAATCCTACGAAGACATTTTACTGTGGCCGTCTGAATGGGTAACTAGTAGCTACCATTATCATTTTAAGATAGTACGTAGGTACCAACTTACATAATTTTCGTCTACATTTTACACAAAACTCTCGAATCTCCTAAAAGATTATACTTAATCGTTTCTCATTTAATTTAGTGTTTAGGACTATTGTTGGGATTTGTTGAAGGAATTCTAGTAGTATAATAGTAATTAGGGAACTAGGTAATCTTTTGTTTTTAGTGTTGAAGACTAAAGCATTGTCTCATAATAGATTGGTAGTGGTAATTCGTTCGATTTTTTTTTATGGTATAAGTCGGCAAACGAGCAGACGGATTACCTGATGGTAAGCAATCGGCGCCGCCCATGGACACCCGCAACACCAAAGGAGTTACGAGTGCGTTGCCGGCCTTTTGGGGATGGGGGTTGGAGATATAAGGATCGGGAAGGGATAGGGGAGTGGGAGGGATTGGGCCTCCGGTAACCTCACTCACACGGCGAAACACAACGCTGTGGGTTGTTTCACGCCGGTATTCTGTGAGGCCGTGGTATCACTCCGGTCGAGCCGACCCATTCGTGCCGAAGCTTAGCTCTCCCACACTTATAAACGACTTACTCTTATAAACGACTTACTCGCGTAATGTATTCAACTGATAAAATCAACTTTTTAATTCATTAGACATTCATTTTAATATTTCGTCTATTATAATCTGTATTTCTGTATTACTACCTAGTGTATTCTGTGTTTAATTTGAATTTCAAGATACGCTTCTTTTAGGTATTCTTTTTTAAAATTATTTATTGTATTCCATCTTCGAGACGGTGAATTGCTGTTATTACGCCATTATTGTCATAAAAAAATTAAATAATTTAACTTATGTGTTCGTAAAATTTTGTCATTACATTTTAAATTAATAACAAATAGACTCTTATTCGTGAGCTGCGTACGCAACGCGTTCATTGTGATTTGAAACTACCAGAGGTTTTCTCAGTATGACTTAGTAAGAAAAAACCCAATCCTAATACAACTCCATGACTTTCTATACCTTAACAAAGTCTTCAACTACAAAGATTTCTGCTATTCCCAATGGGAGAGCAAATGAAGCTACATGTATGTATAATGTAGAACCATGCCCAAGCAAAGGTTAGCATTGTTGCCCATTCACCATGAGCACAAAGGTATTTGAAAGTTTACAAGCTATCCTTGCAATTGTAATACTATGTAGCTTTCTCCTTCCTAACGTCGTGGTGGCCCGGGGGTGAAGGCACCCGCTTCTCATGCATGAGGGTGCGGATTCGAAACCTAGCATGTACCAATCGCCATCTGTATTTAGATATAAACATATAAACGACAGTTTTATGGAGTTGTTTTTCTGCTCTCATAGCACAATGGTAGAAGGGAGGTGAAACTGTGTCCAAAAACTTCATTAACTTCTCGTCCCACCCAGGGCATTTCACGCCCTGGGTGGGACGAGAAGTTTAAGACTCTTATTTATATAACAATAGGTTAAGACTCTTACTGACTAAAATTCATTCCTTCTCCTCAAAATTCACACCCCGTTCCCTCTTCTGCTCCGGGTCATACTACGGTATGTTACTGTGCTTATACCTAGATTGTAACTGGTAAACTTTAATTTCTTTATAAGTGAACCCAACTTTATAATAAGTGTAATTTCTTTACTAACACTTGGTAACTGATTTAAAAAGAGTAACCATGGAGTTTCTTGCTTGTTCTTATCCATCGGAATCTACACTTTGGAACGAGCAAATAGCTTCACTAAGAGGACTGACCGACAGACTGATAATAGGTATATCTTCAAAATTTTGTTTGACGTTCAAGTGCCTGTAAAATAATATTTGATGAATGTTGTTCATAGATATGACGTCATAACTTTAATGTGCCTAAAACATTTAATTTCACTTAGGTACATAATGTAGAAAAGGGTAAAACTAAATTGATTATGGATTATTATTATTTGGATTATTTTTGTACGTTTTCAACTTATGCAAGTGTAGCTAAATAAATGGTTTAAATGGTTTATGAGATAAATATACAAAACGAACTGAACAAAATACTAGCAGATAATCTCAAGATTCAAGACTAAGACAGACTTAGTTCCGTGCCCAAGGTATCCAAGATCCAATTCAATCTAGAATCAAATATTTGCATAGCTTACAATCTTAGTTCGTACCGGATCGTTGGTGTGAGATCTGTATCTTTAATGTTTACGTGATATAGTTTATGTACTAAATACAGCGATATTATATGTTTTTAAACACGTAGATTCGTTTTATAAACTTTTTATAGCAAGACTGTGACTGAAAATATAAATTTTCTTCTTTTTTTAATTTAACATAGTGTGCGCACTCAAAATTATTTTTAAAATGTCCGGTATTCACGGTTTTTAGCCAATAAATCAGAAGCAGCGTGGAATAAAAACTTGATTTGTGTAACGTACCGAATCTTCAACCACATTCATATGTAAAACTACACGTCAATTATTTCATTCAAACATGTCAAAAATCATTTATTCCAACTAAACCCTACATAAGTACTTTTGAAACGTCGAAATGAAACAATAGTCCTTCATTCTATTCAGTACGCGTTTCAAATTGAAAATTCGAATGGAGAAGAATGAGACAGAAACACAATCGTGCGTGACTCTTTAAAAAAATATATATTTATCTTTTTTTAAAGATAAACTAACACCAATCGTGAACAATCAAATTAAATGCATATGACGGCAATCCATTTCGAATATTCAGTTATCAACCAAAAATAATGATATGACATATCGTCAAACAAACAATATTCATTAGTTATCGTGTTCTACTGTAATTTAAATACAAAATTAACGACAAAAAGGTTCTCGTAAAATAATTAAAACAACAATTAACTGGCGAACAAAAGATTTAACAGCTTCGCTTTTGGCCAGACGGTCGTTTATTAAATTAGTAAAGTTTTAACTGTACTAAATGTTACTTCTTATGCTTAATACAATTATAATGTTTAATTATATTTCAGGAGCTCTTAGTGAAGTAACTACCACTTGTACATACCTCTTTTAGTCTTTTTGAGGGGGGAAAATCACCAAGTTGTTCTTTACTTGACTTCATTCATCCAGAGTGGGGTTAGAGGGAGTGTCAGACTCTTACTGACTAAATACAACCCCGCCACGTTACTTGCTCGCCCCGTAACCCTGCTGAACATACCCCTTTTTGACCCCATCAGTAGTGGGCTATTGGTTCGCTGTTAGCTCGTGTCTGGTTCTGGTTGGGCAGCGAGCGACCCATTTTGCTCTTGTGCCGGACTTCGCCACGCGAACCACTTTTGGTAGGGGTCGCTCTGGGCGTCGAAACCCAGAATTCTTCCTCAAGATTACTCTAAATACATTTTTTATTTTATTTTGTATATTATTACCTAAGTTACCAGCCTCCATATTAGCAATATATTTGTACTATAACATTTGCAAAACACATTTAATTAAGTGATTATGTTTTACGACTTACTAACGTAATTATTTGACGAGATATAACTCGAATAGTTTCAAGTCACGCTAGGGACTCGTATTCATGAGCAGCATAGCGCTACATACGAACAACACGCATATAACGGTTAATTCAGTAAACATGCTCTTTGATTTTTGTTTCTTTGCAATATTGATATTAAATGTGTTTACAATAAAAGTATACTTAGTATAAGTGAATAGGTACCCATAAGCGGCTCTAATTGCTTACCATCAGGTAAACCGCCTGCTCTTTTGCTATCAACTTTATAAAATACTAGCTACTCTCGCACGGTTTCACCCGCCGCTCGGCTCCATTTAATCGTAGCGTGATGTTTTATAGCAGTCAGGGACATTGTAGCTATCTATCAGTGAAAGAATTTTGGCAATCCGACCAGCGGTTCCAAAGATTACCCCCTACATACAAACTTACAAATTTTACCTCTTTATAAAATTAGTATATAGTATATTTTAGTAAATAGTAACTATAGTAATAGTATAGTATAGAAGTATAGATATATCAGGAGTATCACTCACGGGATTACGACTTTCGTGGTTGGTGTTAAGATTGGCGAAGCGGTGACGATTTCCTAACTGTCACGTGGTACAAGGAGTAGAGGGAAAGAATCAAGTCGTGCAAGTCGTGCAATTCCCCTCTCACTCTCCGAAATGTATCCGGTGAAAACAAATATCACATCATGATCAACATCGCGTGTCACACAAGGTGACCTCATACCCATCACCACAACCATTAAAAATTTTATCAACAAAAACAATCTATAAACTTACCTAATTATTTTTATATCATAAAATAAATATAAGTACTTTTTGAGTCATTGTTCTAAAAATATATAGGCAAGAAAATGTCATGAACACAAAAGTACGTAAAATTTATCAATGTGCCAAGTCAGGCCAAGATATCAAATGTCGTGGGGCTAAATAACCCTTAATTGGGCTGCTGGGAACGCCCCTTCGTTATCCTTCTGAAGACCTTTTGGACCCTTTGACGGAAAACCTATTAAAGTCTCTGATTTCTATAGTGTTTTGTTTAGTTTACAACTATTGTCCAAAACTTAATTGCTTGGATTTCTTTGATTGGAGTATTGTACCTAAAAGAAACGATATTCATCAGTATAATACAACAGTTTCCAGCTAAAATTATAATAGCTGAACTCTATTATAATTTTAGCTGGAAACTGTAAAGTCGAGAATTAAAAGTTATTTAAAGCTAGTGAGTTTAGTTCGTATTATACTGATGAATATCGTTTCTTTTAGGTACAATACTCCAATCAAAGAAATAACATCTTTAATTTTAATAACATTATAAAACTTTTTACAAAAAATATGTACAATACCGTGGTCACAAAGTCGTTTACCTTTATTTTGCACTAAATCCTAGTTTGAGCCGTTCCATTAAAAAAAAATGTCACTCCTTTTGGGCAGTCGAGTAAAAACATTTCACTGCCTACCTTAATTAACTGACAATAGTTTACTGTTAGCCACAGCATACATTTCTACATGAATGTTCTCTTTAGGCAACTTGATATCTACAAAATCTAGCTCGATATCTTGCAAAGTTCTATCTTTAGTTTCTGGTAATATGAAATACAAATAAAATATACAAATAACTGCTATTGCTATGTACACTGCAAATGTTCCGTGAGCGTCCATCGCATCGAGCATTACTGATGTCGACTTTATTAAAATCATGCTTGATAACGCATAGAATATACCCAAAACACTTGTGCCTAGCCCTTTATATTCAATGGGAAGTAATTCTCCCTTAAGCACCATAGAAACTGGAATAACACCAAGATAACATACTATGTTGTACAAAATTAAGAGTAATGGCGTCAACCAGGTAACGTTTACAATATTTTTCTGCTGCAATAGATGGAACAAACAAACCAGACTTAATAAAATGCATGCCAAAATACTTGAATACAGTAATAAGTGCCGTCGTTTGAATATCCTCACAATGTAGCTCGTCGTCAACACAGCTAAGATTTTCATCACATCCAGCCCTATAGTATAATAGTAAGCTTGCGACTTGTCCCCGGTCAAAGAGATCATTATTTGCACCACGTAAGCTAACAGATAATGTCTGCCACATACTTGAGTCAATATAATCAACATTAACACCACTGTGAAAGGTTTCAAAAACTCTTTAGACTTCAATGCTTGTAAATTTCTCACCAATAAACTGGTATTCCTCATTTTCTTTACATTTCTCAATTCTTGCTGCGCTGTTATCATTTCTTTTAGTTCTTTTTGCGATTCTATACTTTTTCCTCTCAGCCACTCGAATGATGCCGCACATTCATCATAGCGGCCCTTGTAAGCCAACCAGTGTGGACTTTCTGGCCAGACTACAGTTCCCAGCGCAGCCAACGCTGGTGGGGTGGATGCTAGCCAGGCCATCTGCCTCCAAGACAAGGAGAACCCGAGTCCATGACAGATTAGTTCACCAATACCAGTAGCAGAAATCTTAAAAATGATGAAGAATCCTCTTCGCTTTGGATGACTGTATTCACCAGCGAGGATGCTGCAGATGTAAAGCCCTCCAAAAGACAAACCTTGGATAGTTCTTCCTGCAATGATAGTTGGCACGTTGGGAGACAGAGCGATGATAACCCAGCCGATGAAGATGATCAAGTTCATGGTGACGTTGATGAATCTCCTGCCGTAGATCTGCATTAATGGAGGAAGCAGGAGGAAGCCCACACCGCCCGTCATACTGAAGGCTGCAGCTGCAAATAGAAACAAGGTTCCGTTTGTTTATAAGTCAAGCGAAATTTTCCACAACATTTTTATTGTTGTACTTGTATTTGTAAGTTGTTTAGATAGATATAAATATTTATTAACTATCTTTATTACAATAAAATGCTTATTGCATTGCATATAATAATAGTAACGAAAATAAGAGTAGAAGTAACTTGTTGAAAATAAAAAACTGCTTGTTCTCAATCGTTAATTCAATCAATGTACCTAAAAAACCTAAAATAAAAATACTATAATAATTTTATTAATTATCAATTAGGTATTTTCGGTACATCCTTTTCTGCAAAAGTGTGGAAGAGCCAAGCTGAGGCACGAATGGAGTGATACCACGGTCTCATAGAAAACCGGCTTGAAACAACCACAGCTTTGTGTTTCGCTGTGTGAGTGAGGTTGCCGGAGGCCCAATCCTTCCCCTACCCCCATCCCTTCTCAATACCTTAATTATCCAAAAACCTTATCCCTAAAAGGCCGACAACGCACTCGTAATTCATTTGGTTTTGCGGGTTTCCTTGGACGGCGCTGATTGCTTACCATCAGGTAATTAATCTGCTCATTTGCCGACGTATATAAAAAACACTAATTATATCGCTCTACTACTCACCAATCCAAGAAGCTTCTCCCTTAGTGGCATGAACTTCATTCTCATTATTCGTATTATTTGCAGTAATGGCCGGAGTTAGGACCGCGGGGTATGAAAGGACGAACCCGATGGCCAAGTGATGAAATATCATGGATACCATCACACACCACTGAAATAAGAAACAGAAGAAAAATAAATTATAATTTAATCGTCGCAAAACTTAAACTAAGCCAGTAACAACGAAAGAAATTATCATCATCGTCATCATCAGCCTATAAGTTGATAATCCTACAATCTTAAAGCCTAATAAATAATCTTACTACTGAGCAAAAGTCTCTTCTGACACCGAGAAGGTTTGAGCCAATGACGATATAAAGTGAGCATTGTTTACCAAGCTTGCTCAAGGCAGATTGGTGATTTAAAACTTATAATTAAGTTATTTACTTTGGAGTCAGTACAGTTACGTCACTTCCATTCACGGAACCACAGGGTCCCGGACCTTTGGAAGGCGTACGAGGGCCCGAAGTCAACTCGCAGAGGCCCGTTGAACAACTTTATTATTAGTGAAATGGGACATCAGCCGGCAATTATCCCTATATGCACTATGAAAGTGCACCCAAGGACAATCCCCGGTTGATGCAGGACTATTGTGAAATGTGGTAAAATTGATAGGGTTATAGGTATGGGTTGCTATCGACTGGTGGATATGATAACTATGGAAATACTACGGCCCCTGTCCCTGACCAATATTGTTACATACGGATAAAGAGGCAGGGGCTGACTGGCAACCTCAATTAATAGGTCCCTGGAAACGGCCGCTAGCCTGTAGCGACACGGGGGTAACATACGTTGAGCTGCTTGGGGAAGGAAAGGCATCCCACGGCTAACAGAGCAATCTTGGAAGTACGGTCAAGCTGCAGCAGCACCATCTTACTGAGATACATCTTTCCGCCGAGTCGTCTTCAACTCCTACTCTTGCGAATCTCCACTCAAGCCAGCCAATTAAGGTAAGAATAAGGCAGTAGGGCTTGTTCCTCCTACCTCATTTTTCCACGGAATACTCAAGATTATTTTCAGGTGAAACCCTGCAGCGATTTAGGGACAGTAAATCGTCTTGCACAAGGCAGGTGGTCGATTTCAACCATTTCTTACAATGTAACCATGACCATCAAAATGAAAATAATCGTGAAGTATTAAAAATAAATTTCGTGATATATTTTGCACAAGTTATAAGTACTTAATAACCGAATGTACTATGCAAACGCTAGCAGCAGTTTGAGTTTCAAAGTTATATTTAGTTTTTATTTTAATTTTAATACATGATAATAATGGCATTAATTCTGAAATTGCATACCATATAGAAATAGGTCCACCTCTATAATATTCGATTTAAAAAAATCACAATATTTATCAAAACTATACCTGCTTTGATATCTTGACTCGAATTTTTCATTTTTTTTTTTATATATTTGTTTTGCATTATCGATTGTACTAACCTATATTTATAAAAGTACTTAATATTTATATAAAGAATTTGGTTATAATCTAAGGCACATAATTATAATGGATAATAAATTTTGAAGTATTTTTCACTACATTCATAAAAATCTTTTTTTTCCATGAATAGGATGGCAAACGAGCGATAGATGGATTACCTGATGGTAAGTAATCGGCGTAGCCTATGTAACACTAAAGAAGTCACGAGCGCGTTGCTGATCTTTTGAGGATAAGGGTTTCAGAGTTTTAGAGAGGAATGGGCCTCCCCCCATTCCTCTCTTATCTCTAAAACGATAAGAAAGATTGGGAATCCGGTAACCTTACTCACACGCTGTGGTTTCACGCCGGTTTTAGCAAGCGCACCTAAACCTAATCTAACCCTGGATTTCCTGGCATATAGTTCACACCAATTACTTCTTATATAAAAACTGATCAAGCCTGTAGTGGCAAGCAAATTTTTTATACACAGGCCCCTTAGTCAATTATCGACATATATATGTAACAAAGTAAATCACTAGATCCCTATATTCCTATAAATGTATATTTTCAATCAGTCTACTTAATAAGTAGACGTTCACGTGCATAATAAAGATCAATTAAATAGTGGATAAATTTCGCATTAGCATTGCACCCGTGCGAAGCCGGGGCAGGATGCTAGTTAATTATAAAACAAATCTAAATAATTATTAAGAACTCACTTCTCGCAATAAAGGCGCCACCATATTGTATTCCCTCGTCAAACACGACCAAACAAAAGCAATAGAAAAACTCAACTACTGTCACAACGAAACAAAACGATAAAAATGTTATCTCTACGTATTTGTTAATTATATTATATTAATGTCAATACTAACTCATGCCCGTGGCTTCACTAATGTACATAATCAAATATATATTTAAACAGTAGCTGCCCTCAAAATAGAAAGATCAAGATTGTATAAGTAAAGTATGTCAAAATAACAATATTAAGACTCCTAAAAGGCACCCTTGATTTAACTGCAATCCCCAAACTGCTCGCCATATGTGTTGATTATGATGTAACGTGGGGATTAGAATGCAGCTAGCTAATGATGGCAACAGAACAGCCGAAAGCCCCTGTAGGTTCGCATATAGTAATAGTATAGTATAGAAGTATAGATATATCAGGAGTATCACTCGCGGAATTACGACTTTTGTAGTTGGTGTTTAACATTAGCCAAGCGGTGACGTTTTGCCGACTGTCACGTGGTACGATAATACCAAGGAGTAGAGGGAATCAAGTCCTACAATTTGCCCCTCTCACTCTCCGAAATGTATCCGGTGAAAACAAGCATCACATCATGATCACCATCGCGTGTCACACAAGGTGACCTCATACCCATCACCACAACCATTAAAAATGTTATCAACAAAAACAATCTATAAACTTAATTATTTTTATATCATAAAATAAATATAAGTACTTCATGAGTAATTGTTCTAAAAATATATAGGCAAGAAAATGTCATGAACACAAAAGTACGTAAAATTTATCAATGGGCCAAGTCAGGCCAAGATATCAAATGTCGTGGGGCTAAATAACCCTTAATTGGGCTGCTGGGAACGCCCCTTCGTTATCCTTCTGAAGACCTTTTGGACCCTTTGACGGAAAACCTATTAAAGTCTCTGATTTCTATAGTGTTTTGTTTAGTTTACAACTATTGTCCAAAACTTAATTGCTTGGATCTCTGAACTCTATTATAATTTTAGCTGGAAACTGTAAAGTCGAGATTTAAAAGTTATTTAAAGCTAGTGAGTTTAGTTCGTATTATACTGATGAATATCGTTTCTTTTAGGTGCAATACTCCAATCAAAGAAGTAACAACTTTAATATTAAAAATATTATACAACTTTTTACAAAATGTATGTACAAAAATATGCTTTATGCGTTACTTTCTAAATGCGTTGCTATTCTTCGTTATTTTTAAACAACCTCCTTTAACGGTATTTTGCAATAAAACCTTCATTTGAACCGTTTCATAAAAAAATATTAACACTGGTCCATCTTAATTAACTGACAACAGCTTACTGTTAGCCACAGCATACATTTCTACATGAATGTTCTCTTTAGGCAACTTGATATCTACAAAATCTAGCTCGATATCTTGCAAAGTTCTATCTTTAGTTTCTGGTAATATGAAATACAAATAAAATATACAAATAACTGCTATTGCTATGTACACTGCAAATGTTCCGTGAGCGTCCATCGCATCGAGCATTACTGATGTCGACTTTATTAAAATCATGCTTGATAACGCATAGAATATACCCAAAACGCTTGTGCCTAGCCCTTTATATTCTATGGGAAGTAATTCTCCCTTTAGCACCATAGAAACTGGAATAACACCAAGATAACATACTATGTTGTACAAAATCAAGAGTAATGGCGTCAACCAGGTAACGTTTACAATATTTTTCTGTTGCAATAGATGGAACAAACAAACCAGACTTAATAAAATGCATGCCAAAATACTTGAATACAGTAATAAGTGCCGTCGTTTGAATATCCTCACAATGTAGCTCGTCGTCAACACAGCTAAGATTTTCATCACATCCAGCCCTATAGTATAATAGTAAGCTTGCGACTTGTCCCCGGTCAAAGAGATCATTATTTGCACCACGTACGCTAACAGATAATGTCTGCCACATACTTGAGTCAATATAATCAACATTAACACCACTGTGAAAGGTTTCAAAAACTCTTTAGACTTCATTGCTTGTAAATTTCTCAGCAATAAACTGGTATTCCTCATTTTCTTCACATTTCTCAATTCTTGCTGCGCTGTTATCATTTCTTTTAGTTCTTTTTGCGATTCTATACTTTTTCCTCTCAGCCACTCGAATGATGCTGCACATTCATCATAGCGGCCCTTGTAAGCCAACCAGTGAGGACTTTCTGGCCAGACTACAGTTCCCAGCGCAGCCAACGCTGGTGGGATGGATGCTAGCCAGGCCATCTGCCTCCAAGACAAGGAGAACCCGAGTCCATGACAGATTAGTTCACCAATACCAGTAGCAGAAATCTTAAAGATGATGAAGAATCCTCTTCGCTTTAGATGACTGTATTCACCAGCGAGGATGCTGCAGATGTAAAGCCCTCCAAAAGACAAACCTTGGATAGTTCTTCCTGCAATGATAGTAGGCACGTTGGGAGACAGAGCGATGATAACCCAGCCGATGAAGATGATCAGGTTCATGGTGACGTTGATGAATCTCCTGCCGTAGATCTGCATTAATGGAGGAAGCAGGAGGAAGCCCACACCACCCGTCATGCTGAAGGCTGCAGCTGCAAATGAAAAGGTTTCGTTTGTTTATAAGTCAAGCGAAATTTTCCACAACGTTTTTATTGTTGTCCTTAATATTTGTAAGTTGTGTAGATAGATATAATTAGTATTTATTAACTATCTACAGTACAATAAAATGTTTATTGCATTGCATATAATAATAGTAACGAAAATAAGAGTAGAAGTAAATAAAAAACTGCTTGTTCTCAATCGTTAATTCAATCAATGTACCTAAAATACCTAAAATAAATATATCTAAAATACCTAATTGATAATTAGGTATTTTAGGTATATTTTATTAATTATCAATAAGGTATTTTAGGTACATCCTTTTCTGCAAAAGTGTGGGAGAGCCAAGCTGAGGCACGAATGGAGTGATACCACGGTCTCATGGAAAACCGGCTTGAAACAACCACAGCTTTGTGTTTCGCCGTGTGAGTGAGTTTACTGGAGGCCTAATCCTTAACCTACCCCCATCCCTTTTCAATACCTTAATTATCCAAAATCCTTATCCCTAAAAGGCCGACAACGCACTCGTAATTCATTTGGTTTTGCGGGTTTCCTTGGACGGCTCTGATTGCTTACCATCAGGTAATCAATCTGCTCATTTGCCGACCTATTAAAAAAACAATAATTATTTCGCTCTACTCACCGATCCAAGAAGCTTCTCCCTTAGTGGCATGAACTTCATTCTCATTATTCGTATTATTTGCAGTAATGGCCGGAGTTAGGACCGCGGGGTACGATAGGACAAACCCGATGGCCAAGTGATGAAATATCATGGATACCATCACACACCACTGAAATAAGAAACAGAAGAAAAATAAATTATAATTTAATCGTCGCAAAACTATAACTAAGCCAGTAACAACGAAAGAAATTATCATCATCGTCATCATCAGCCTATAAGTTGATAATCCTATAATCCTAAAGCCTATAATCTTACTACTGAGCAAAAGTCTCTTCTGACACCGGGAAGGTTTGAGCCAATGACGATATAAAGTGAGCATTGTTTACCAAGCTTGCTCAAGGCAGATTGGTGATTTAAAACTTATAATTCTAAGTTATTTACTTTGGAGTCAGTACAGTTACGTCACTTCCATTCACGGAACCACAGGGTCCCGGACCTTTGGAAGACGTACGAGGGTCCGAAGTCAACTCGCAGAGGCCCATTGAACAACTTTATTATTAAAGAAATGGGTCATCAGCCGGCAATTATCCCTATATGCACTATGAAAGTGCACTCAAGGACAATTACCGGTTGATGCAGAACTATTGTATAATATGACAGAAAAATATATGGTTATGGATGTGCGTGGTTATGGACAGGTAGATGATAACTATGAAAATACTACGGCCCCTGTCCCTGACCAATATTGTTACATACGGATAAAGAGGCAGGGGCTGACTGGCAACCTCAATTAATAGGTCCCTGGAAACGGACGCTAGCATGTAGCGACACGATGACAACATACTTTTAGCTGCTTGGGGAAGGAAAAGGAGAAGTACGATCAAGCTACACCAGCACCATCTTACTGAGATACATCCTTCCCTTGAGTTTTTTCAACTCCTACTCTTGCGAATCTCCACTCAAGCCAGCCAATTAAGGCAATAATGAAGTAGGAGGGCTTGTTCCTCCTACCTCATTTTTCCCCCCACGGAATACTCAAGATTATCTTCAGGTGAAACCCTGCAGCGATTTAGGGATAGTAAATCGCCTTGCACAAGGCAGGTTGTCGATTTTAAATATTTCTTACAACATAACCGTGACCATCAAAATTAAAACAATCGTGAAGTATTAAAAATTTCGTGATACTTATATTTTGCACAAGTCACAAGTACTTAATAACCGAATGTACTATGCAAACGCTAGCAGCAGTTTGATTTTCAAAGTTATATTTAGTTTTTATTTTAATTTTAATACATGATAACAATAGCATTGATTCTGAAATTGCATACCATATAGAAATAGGTCCAACCCTATAATATTCGATTTAAAAAAAATCACAATATTTATGAAAACTATACCTGCTTTGATATCTTGACTCGAATTTTTCATTTTTTTTTTATATTTTTTATAGTTTTGCATTATCGATTGTACTAACCTATATTTATAAGAGTCCTTAATATTTATATAAAGAATTTGGTTATAATCTATGGCACATAAATATAATGGATAGTAAATTTTGAAGTATTTTTCACCACATCCATAAAAATCCTTTTTTTCCATGAATAGGATGGCAAACGAGCAGATGGATTACCTGATGGTAAGTAATCGGCGTAGCCTATGTAACACTGAAGAAGTCACGAGCGCGTTGCTGACCGTTTGAGGATAAGGGTTTCAGAGTTTTATCTCTAAAACGATAAGAAAGATTGGGAATCCGGTAACCTTACTCACACGCTGTGGTTTCACGCCGGTTTTAGCAAGCGCACCTTAAAAGCACACCTAAACCTAATCTAACCCTGGATTTCCTGGCATATAGTTCACACCAATTACTTCTTATATAAAAATTGATCAAGCCTGTAGTGGCAAGCAAATTTTTTATACACAGGCCCCTTAGTCAATTATCGACATATATATGTAACTAAATCACTAGATCCCTATATTCCTATAAATGTCTATTTTCAATCAGTCTACTTAATAAGTAGACGTTCACGTGCATAATAAAGATCAATTAAATAGTGGATAAATTTCGCATTAGCATTGGACCCGTGCGAAGCCGGGGCGGGATGCTAGTTAATTATAAAACAAATCCAAATAATTATTAAGAACTCACTTCTCGCAATAAAGGCGCCACCATATTGTATTCCCTCGTCAAACACGACCAAACAAAAGCAATAGAAAAACTCAACTACTGTCACAACGAAACAAAACGATAAAAATGTTATCTCTACGTATTTGTTAATTATATTATATTAATGTCAATACTAACTCATGCCCGTGGCTTCACTAATGTACATAATCAAATATATATTTAAACAGTAGCTGCCCTCAAAATAGAAAGATCAAGATTGTATAAGTAAAGTATGTCAAAATAACAATATTAAGACTCCTAAAAGGCACCCTTGATTTAACTGCAATCCCCAAACTGCTCGCCAAATGTGTTGATTATGATGTAACGTGGGGATTAGAATGCAGCTAGCTGATGATGGCAATAGAACAGCCGAAAGACCCTGTAGGTTCGCATTAATCGTAATCGAGTTATTTAGTATAAAAAAATATATATCAATAACGGCAGTACTGTAATTCTGTCTTAAACATCGAATAACACAACCTGGCGTATCATCACGTGGTCACTACTGAGCAAAGACCTCTTCTCATACGGAAAAGAAATGACCATTAATCACCACGCTTGCTCAAGGCTTACTGGCGACTTTAATGTTTTCTATTAATGTTTTCCTTTACCGTATGTCAATGGTGTCTAAATTTAGAAAGTATAAAATAACACGGAAGAAATACATTAATGTTTGCGAGGTTTCGAATACCCATCAATTACTGGAGACCTGAAGCATAAAGAACCTGCATGGTATTTTACTAACATTGCAACTCGCGAACGTATAAAATAAAAAACAAACAAAAATATTGAAAGCCTAAAAAACAATACAAAAGTGAAAAAAATGGAAAATTCATTCATTACGCTGTGAATGAGTCCATTGGGGCCAAAGGTTTGGTTCCAGTGGATCAAAGTAAGCTCAAATATTGATACGTCGACCCATTGTTGGGCCTTGCTGTCCAATCCTGCCCGCTTTGAACTGTCTTTCATTGAGAATTTTCGATTTTTCATCCTTTCTGTGTCGTTTCAGATATTTCTAGTTGCAATTTGATCAATTCTTTACTATTTTCTAGGTTCGTATTTGATTGTATGATTTGAGGATTAAAGGGGGGACACACCAGTTTTCTCGTTAACCCGTATTTGGTCCTTAACTTGGCTCGCCCACACAGACATTACTTATTTTGCGCTCTTAGCAGCTATAATCAATTGATAAGTACACACTAACTACCTGCGCAAAAAAAAAAGAAAAAAAACTGTTAAATTTCTATAACATTAATATTTTATTGCTTCTCTTTCAATACAATTATTTTTTGTTGTTTATGTTTTTTGTAATTTTGAATCAATGCAAACTATCATGTGTGATAGTTTGGACTTTGAAATACTACTATAAGTGACTTTCTATAATGTTTCTTGAAAATTAATTATGTTATCTTGTAAAACGATCTTCGTGTTGAAATCCATCATTAAAAACCAATTCTATTAATTAAGTAACAATGTGCAATTCATAATTGACTACTTCTAAAACTATTTTTTGCAAATACTATAAAGCAATAATTTCAAACAGCATTCTTTCACTTCTATTCTAACATTTAAATTTTACATTATAGACCTGAATGCAGTGTAAGCTGAATAAGTGACTCTCATGGCCCCCATCAAACAATCTGAAGCTCATCTTGGTCATGCCACCAGCAGAAATAGAAGATGTCTTCTGAGAAATCTGCAGCATCAGCAATACCATCTTCCTGTTCCTAGGATCGAAGTTCTCCCAATGGCAGTCATAAACAGCACGTTCAAATACTTCCCCAGCATCCATGATCCGTTGCCCAATAAAACAATCAGTTCCAACCTGCATAAAAGCAAAAGGCAGCTGCAAAAATGTGTTCTCCAATCCGCCTAAGAGTTCTGATATTAGACCAAGAAGAAGGAATGTTAATCCAACGGCAGTAGGTCCACTACAAACGTCCTCAACTTGGTTTATTAGAGTCTTGATAGTCGCATGGCGTTTTATAATGTACTTTAGATTCTTAAACACATGATCGTTCTTTATCATCTTCTTATTGTCAAAATCTTGGAATTCTAGTCCGAGATTCAAAGTCTCAAAATGTTTCTCTGCATCTTCCCACACATGTGTAACTTCATCGCTCAGAGACAGCATCTGTGACTCAGCGTAGCCAATGATGACGATGAAGTAGGCAGTCACGTTGGATGATATGTAGCATATGATGGCAATACTGGCGGTCATCATGAACCATGCTATCTCGTAGTTTGGTGTCTCATACATTGGTTCTAGGCCTGTGAAGATGAATATTTAGTTTCACGTTAAATAAAACATCTAGTTCATGACTTTTAATGTATGTAAAAATTAAGATTTTCAAAGAAGCATATATGTAGAAACAAAATCTGCTAACAAATTACCATAGATAACAAGCATATCTTCAGATAAATGTCTGCCAGGGCGTAACAGGGGTATGATAAGGTAGACACACCCGTTGCCCATGAGCACTGCCCAATAGAAGATAGCTCTCTTCTTCACATCACGCATGTACCTTACCAAGTTCCTGTACATCCTGCTACCAGGCACCATGTGAGAGTCGAATTCCAGGAATTCGTCAGTAAGATTTCTAATGTCTTTGCTAGAATGAAAAAGACATATTACTATAGAATGATGTTGAAGGTGAAAAATATGCTGATTACATTGATGGCAGATGATAAATAGATGAACACAGTAATGATGATGAAGAGGCATCGATACCATCATCAGTTGAATACTAATTAAATGAAACGAAGAAACCAAACGATGAGAAAGAGAGTGTGGAGACTGATATGAAAGAGGAGGGAGTGATGTAATAAGATATAAAAGTAATGGAAGAAGAAGACTTACATACAAATAAACATGTACAGGAGTTTCAAGCTACCGATTTCGCTGGAGATCCCCAAGGAGAGTACCACCATGGCCGCGACCAGGTCCCCTGTCTCTCGACTCCTCACGAACACGAACCACACCATGCAGACCAGGTAAACATATAGATAGCACAGAGCTGCCACCACCACCAATATGTAGAAGATGAATGGGATTTCTGAATAAAGTAAATGCGATTAGAAATCAGTAACATCGCAACTATCAGAATACGGGAACAAAATGTTGACGACCTTGTACATTACTACGGACGTCTGCTTACTGGTGTCTGTTTTTGCTTTTTCTAATTTCATTTTGCTATCTATTGTAACTCACTAACAGTTTCAGTGAGCGCATCGTGAGGGACATTAACCTAAGAAGCAGTTTTGGAATGGATGTAACCAAAATTTTAATTTTAGTTACTGTCTCTCCTTCAATATTGATGTCGGCATCAGAAATATGAAATACGTTTTTTATCAAGCCATTAACAGAGATTGTTCAAGATCCTTAGATTTTAAGATTGGAATTTCTTAGTAAATCCCTTCCTAGCGAAAAAAATGGCGTACTTACTGTCGTGCTATTGTATTACTGGATCCTACTTGACATAAGTGGGATTTGCGAAAATCGATCACACTGCACGGTTGGCGCGGTGCCTGGGCGACTGGCTACCACGCAAAGTGTCGCGTATTCGATTATCGCACGGAACAACTCTTTGTGTGATCCACAAATTGTTGTTGCTGGTCTGGGTGTGATGTGTATGTGAAATTGTGTGTTTGTCCCCACGACACAGGAGAAAATACTAGTATAAGGGCGACGTTTTAAAAAAAACCTCGTGCTTGAATGGCGAGGGTTATTTTTATTTATATAGCCATAGTATTTGTGTTACCTGTTTTCTTTTTTCCATACACATTCAAAGTGAGAACCTTCAAGAATACAGCTACGTTCCATATCATGGTCGGCAGGTCACAGTACTCCAAACCAAACTTACGTATTTGATCCCACATCTTTGAAGCCTGCGGATAAATAGATCTAAATACGTTTAGTATTTAAAAAATTAAAGAATGAATGATGTGGTACTTTAGAAGAAGGAAACTATTACATATTTATATCTCAAGTGTCAACAATGAATGATATTTATTTATATGAACTAAGAAAATAATAGATTTCGTGTCGTTAAACAGGAGGATAATGAGATTAATCTTAGCAGTTGTAGGTACAGAGAGAGGGGAAGAATTTGAGCAATTATTGTTTGTATGAAAATACACTTTATTAAAAAAAAATAGAATACTTTTTTCGACAGAAATGGGGTACCTATTACAAAGACAGTCTCAGTGTAATTAGAAAAAATAAATAGTACGATTAAAATAACTTTTCATTGAATAAAGTGTAATTTGAGATCTTTAAAAAAATTAAAATGTATAACCCTAAAATATCTTTTCCCGTACCTCTAAACGAGTTTCCTCTTCGAGAATTGCTTGCTATGTGACTTAACACATAAACTGCTCCTTCAAAATACAGTTTCGGTGTTTCAGTGTAACCAATTAACTAAATAGTGTTCCAAGTGCCATGTAAATAAACAATTAACACTTCGACACGACGAATTACAGTCATTGATACTTCGTACAAAAAAATATTTTTCATAAGTATATATTTAATTTTATTTGTCTAAAAACGTCGTGGTGGTTCTGAGGTACCCGCTTCTCATACATAAGGGTGCGGGTTGGAAACCACTGTTGGTGACTTATGCCGAGCTATATGTATTTTCTATGAAAATAAAAATATATACACATGTAGAATCTGTGTCTGAGCAGCTAAGCTATGCAGGGAGAAATACAAGAACAAACAAATCATCATCCTATCCTACCATCCAGCCTATAAGTGCCCACTGCTGAGCAAAGGTTTCTTCTCACATGAAGAACGTTTGAGCATTAATCACCACGCTTGCTCAAGACGGATTAGCGATTTCAAACTTATAATTAGAAATTATAAGTTCAGGTTTCCTCGCGGTATTTTTCTTCACCGTATGTCAATCTATACTAATATTATAAAAAGGTTATTAATATTTTTATGTTTGTAAGTTTGTATGTAGGGGGTAATCTTTGCAACCACTAGTCGGATTTCCAAAATTCTTTCACTGATAGATAGCTACAACGTCCTGAGTGCTATAGGCTATAAAACATCACGCTACGATTAAATGGAGCCGAGCAGCGGGTGAAACCACACGAGAGTAGCTAGTGGTGTATATATACATAGTCTGGCCATAAATACTGTTACAATTAAAAATAAACAAAATATTACATTTGAATTTGGAATCTATCATTTTTATATAATTTTTCATAGTGTTTTCTTATTTTGGCGCCAATAAATTGTTCAATATTTTGCGATATTAAAATGGAGTGGGTGATAAAGAGAACCGAATCCCTGTGATTGCATTACACAAAGTGGGTATGGAGCCAAATGCAATTTTTAAAACTCTCCACACGCTTGGCATTAGTCAAATGTTTGTGTACCGGGCTATTAATAGGTACAATGAGACCTCCTCTGTTTGTGACAGAAAACGATCTGGCTGTCCACGTAGTGTTTGTATGAAAAAGGTGGTCAAAGCAGTAAGGGAAAGAATTCGAAGAAATCCTGTCCGAAAGCAAAAGATTTTATCTCGGGAGATGAAGATAGCACCTAGAACCATGTCGCGTATTTTAAAAGAGGACTTAGGACTTGCAGCCTATAAGAAACGCACTGGACATTTATTAAATGATAATTTGAAAAAGAATAGGGTGATAAAATCTAAACAACTACTGAAGCGGTACGCAAAGGGAGGTCACAGAAAAATTTTGTTTACGGATGAGAAATTTTTTACAATTGAGCTACATTTTAACAAACAAAATGACCGTATTTATGCTCAAAGCTCTAAGGAAGCTTCTCAATTAGTCGACAGAGTGCAACGTGGGCATTATCCGACTGCAGTGATGGTTTGGTGGGGTGTTAGCTATAAAGGAGTGACTGAGCCATACTTTTGCGAAAAAGGTATCAAAACATCGGCACAAGTGTATCAAAATACCATTCTTGAGAAGGTAGTTAAGCCCCTCAACAACACCATGTTCAATAACCAACAATGGTCCTTCCAGCAAGTCCACGCAGTCTTGGTTGGAAACGAACGTTTCCGACTTCATCAGAGCTGAAGACTGGCCGTAGTCTAGTCTCGATCTTAATCCGCTGGATTATGATTTATGGTCAGTTTTAGAGAGTAGGGCTTGCTCTAAACGTTGTGATAATTTGGATTCCCTAAAACAATCCATACGATTGGCAGTTAAGAATTTTCCCATGGAAAGAGTGCGTGCTTCTATTGATAACTGGCCTCAACGTTTAAAGGACTGTATTGCAGCCAATGGAGACCACTTCGAATAAGCTTTTTACGTTTTATTTTTTTTTATATTTATGTATTAAACTTACATACTGTATAAGTAATAAATGTTTTTGCAATAGAAAAAATATTTTTTTTATTTGTTACAGTATTTATGGCTAGTCTAGGTAAATGCAGTTAGAAAGTACACGTGACCGGTTCGAACCCTCTACTCGTGTATGAGAAGCGGGTGTACCTGTGCCTACCACAATAAATGATTTTTCTTTATTTTTCTCCTACTTTTCCTCTCTTTAATGTTTGCCTAAAAATTTACTCATCAAAATTGTTGTATGAAGTTTCATGTTAACATGTATTCGTACCAAACAGGATCTGTAGTTAGTAATTATATCGTCAACACCATAAGAGGTGTCAGAATTTAATGGTGCAGCTGTTGCATTATCAACTTTCCGAATGCAAGTAATTATGGGGTGGTTAATAAACTGACATTGTCAGGTAATTTTGGATGTCGAGGTGAAATGGGAAATTCATTTAGGATGGGTTAATTATGGCTTTCAGTGACCTTTTTATGTAAAGTTTATTATAGCTTAAACAGTTTTTGTGGTGCTGCTTCTTTTTATTAAGAAGAATTTTCTCTCGTGTCGTGGGTGTGTTTACATACTGACATAGAAACCCAAACACGAAACAACTATTTGTGAATCGTACATAGAGTTTTCCGTACGGAGTTTTCCGCACGAAACAACTATTTGTGAATCGTACATAGAGTTTTGCGATACGTTTCGTGGCAGCCAATTGTCCAAGTATATAGTCTAAAATAAAATGTGCGAATGCCAATATTTCAACGAACGAATCTGTGCCAGTGAGTTCTTTGTTCTTTAATGACTATTTGCCTGTCGGGGCTAATAATATCATATTCTGTATGGGAGAGCCATGCTTCGGCACGAATGGGTGATACCTAGGCCTCACAGAAAACCGACGTGAAGCTACACTTTTGTGTGTTTCAGGTTGCCGGAGACTCAACCTCCCCTCATCCTCATCCTCAATTCTCAAGTCCCCTACCCTTAAATACCTAATAACCAATTTTTTTATGTAAACGATCGGCAAACGAGTACGCGGATTACTTGATGGTAAACAATCAACGCCGCCCATGGACACCCGCAACGGAGGAGTTACGAGTGCCTTGCCTTTACCTTTTAGGGATTAGGGATTTGGAGATTTAGGGATTGAGGAGGGATTGGGGGAGAGAAGGATTGGGTCTCCGGTAACCTCACTCACACGGCGAAACACAACGCTGTGGTTGTTTCACTCCGGTCGAGCCGACCCATTCGTGCCGAAGCATGGCTCTCCCACACTTTAGCTCCTTTGGTATTACGAATGCCCATGGACGGCGCCGATTGCCTAACATCAGACCATCAGGTAACCGCTCGTTTATCGACCTATGCCTTGAGACATAAAAAAGAAGTACCAATGTACTAAATCAAATATACTTAACAAATACACTACGTAAATCGGAATGGTGTAAATAGCGGCGTGTGTGTAAGTGTGTGTGTGTGTGTGTGAGTGTGTGTGATTAATGCAATGTTTGTTAGTATCGTATGGCGGCACGGTGTAACTGTTTGCTCGATCGATTCAAAAGTTATTAGGATTGGGTTCGCAGTGCAGACTGATGCAAGCAAAACATGTGTACTCTTCATTAAGCTTCGTTATTAATTTCCTATTACATTATTCTGTTTCTATGTGCAAGTACTTGTAATTTAATATGCTCATAATGTACATAGTGTATCAGTTCACAAAAAAGATAAATTTAATAAAAAATACGGAAGCAACAGAAGGAACGGGTTAGCTTGAAGTCCATCCATCATAGAGACTTCTGATCACCAATCAGTATTGGAAATCATTCTTTAAAAAAATAAATTAAAAATCTACGTTTAACTTTTTTTATTATTGATACGTTACACTACTAAGTTTGAGTAAACAACCGATTCATAGGAATAAATATTACAAGAAAGACACTAAATACAGTCTAATAATGCTAATTTCTATTAAAGTAGCTATGGTCTTCTCAAAGGTCTTCTCTCCTTACTTCATAGTAGACCTAAGAGCGGTATACGCGGAGTAAATGCCCCTAAAGACGGACATCAAAGCACTGAAACTGAGGGTCCTCACGCCGCCAGCAGACAGAGTCATGGTCTTCTGGGCATTCTGCAGCATCACCAGCACCAGTTTCATGTTGGATTTGTCAAAGTTCTCCCATTTACAGTCATAAACTGATGCCTCGAACATTGCGCTCGCGTCCATCACTCGTTGACCGGCGAAACAGTCCATGGAAACCTGAAAGAAGAAGAAGAAGAAAATAGTCGCTTTTGACGTTAAAGGGGCAATAAATGACGTGGATTGGAAGGAGAATGATGGTCTAGTTAAGTCCATCTAATCAGTCTGCACTATTTAGTTTGTATTAGTGAAATCATTTAGAGGTTTCCTTTTATTTACTTGGTAATAGAACTATTATTTGTACTGACAAAATGTTTGTGATAACTGACACTGCGGAACCGCAGGGAAAAACCATACATTACACCGCAAATCTTTCTGCAAAAATAACAGAATACCAACCTGCATCAACGCAAAAGGCAGCTGCAGGAAAGTATTCTCTAGCTTTCCAAGTAGTTCTGAGAGTAGCCCAAGAACTAGTAGCACGAAACCGATGGCTATAGCTTGTCTAAACACAATCTCCACTTGGTTCAACAGATTAATTACATTGGCATGGCGACCAATGATCTCCCTCAGCCGTCGTTCCACAAATTGGTTGATTATCATCTTCACTTTTGGATCATATACATCCAATTCTTCTGACATGCCTTCTGTTTGAGCCTTCGCGTGATTAGTAGCATCTGACCATAACTGCAGCATTTCCTCGCTCAAAGCCAACATCTGAGCTTCAGCATAACCAGTGATGACAATGAGGAAAGCGGTCACGCTGGCTGGGACATAGCAAACAAAGAATACTGATGCAATCATCATGAAGTACGCAATCTGGTAGTTTGGAGTCTCGAACATGGGTTCTAAACCTGGGAATGAGAAAAGTGTGTATATTGTTGCAATGAAAATTTATTTCAGGGTTAGGACTTCTGTGGTTACTGAGTTGAGTTTTTTGGCGTTCATTATATAAATAATGTATTGTCTTAGTTTCAGATACGGAACTATTTCTACGGAATACGTGTAGACAAAATCTTTTTTATTAAATTCTGAAATCAACCTTCACTTGTCACTCGCACCTGCATCCACTGGCCACATCCACACATCCTTACAAAGTTTCTCATTTAAAACATTAGTAGGGTTTATTAACTGCCTGTGACAGTTTACTTTTGGTCATATGCCACCTCTACTTTAGAGGGATTACCATAATCTTCACGCTTGGCAAACCGATGGTAACCGCATTTCAAAAGGCAATTTTTAATGGTAAACAATCGGCACCGCCCATTGGCTGTTGTAAGGACCATAGTCACCGCAACCCACAAGTGCATTATCGGGCTTTTGGGGAATGAGTGCCTTCGGTAACCTAACACAACAAGGTTCATGTTTCTAAGGGAGCCCTGCTGCTCGGCATATCCCCTTTATCGGTTCGTATTATAGAAGGGAGACAATTAACCATACATAAGGGACATGAAACATACCATAAATTAGGAAATAGTTCTCCGGCAAATTCCTTCCACGCATAGCAACCGGCTTCATCACGTATAGCACTCCGTTACCAGCCACCACTACCCAGTACAGCATGGCGCGTTTCTTCACACTCCTCAGACGCTTCATGAGGTTCGTGTGGAACCTGGTGCCTTTGATGGTGTTGGCGTCGCATTCTAGAAAGCTATCGGCTATTTTCTGAGTTTTGTCCCTGAAAAGTATTATCTACAGATGAGTGGAGGCGTGAGCAGGGAAACCAATTTGAAATTGATTTCGATCTAAGGGCATTCTTCTTGATTATATTAGACTTATCAGAACCGATAACTTATATTGTGTTTCAAATTGCGGGGTCTAACAAATTAAGACGCTCTCTCTCGCTAATAGCTCTCTTAAAATCGTGTCTCATGTTCATATTAACTGTGGGAGAGCCATGCTTAGGCTCGAATGAGTCAGCTCGACCGGAGTGATACCACGGCCTCACAACAAAACAATCCCAAAATGTTCAATTTCCTAATTCTCTAATAGTCGGCCACGCACTCGTAACTCCTTCGTTGCTGCGACTGTCCATGGGCGGCGATTGATTGCTCACCATCAGGTAAATAGGGTGCTCGTTTGCCGACTTATCACATGAAGAATAGTAAATAAATATCTAAATTATTAACAAAAAAAAGCCTTACATATAATAACACATGTAAAACAGTTTGAAGGGTCCAATTTCGCTAGAGATGCCAAGCGATAGGACGACCATGGCTCCGACCAGTTCTCCGGTGATCCTGGACCGCCAGAAGACAAACCAAGTCATGGAGAAGAGAAAAACATAGTAGAAGCAGGCGGCGGTGACTGCTGTCACGATGTAAGACAAGATCGTAATGCCTGGGGAAAACACAAAGATGATTTTGATTGCAATAAAAGTTCACAAAATATATTAGGTACTATAAATTTAGAAGTACAATAAGGAACCCAATGGTATGATGATACGTGATAGAAGAAGGTGATTAGAAAAAGAAATATTACAGATACTACAATGATGCCAAAATTACTTGTGGCCAAGGTCATTTGGTATCGAACAAAACTAAAATTTATTTCGGATCTTTAGAAATACCATTTTTTTAATACAACTTAAGTATTATTGTCCTGTGTTTTCTAAGATGCTCTTATATATTTAGATCCACTTACCCTTTTTATATTTACTGTCAATATTCACAGTCAGAACCCTCAATAGTATCGAGACGTTTTCCAGCATCGTCGGCAAGTCACAGTACTCCAACCCAAACTTTCGAATCTCATGTATAATTTCTTTAAACGTCAACATAGTACTTAAAAAAACTCCCTAAAAACTCTTTTTTAATAAAATAGAAAGACCACAAGTTTGTAAGCCTTTAAAACCGAAAATAAAATGAGAAATTAACTTTTTTATTAGTCACAATAAACTAATAGCTTTATATACCTTTCTTTTCTTTTTAATACAAAACATTATGACGTATTTTCACACTAAACACTGTAATCATATCTTTAGGTGAAAGGTAAAACTGCTTACACCTGACGACTGACACATTTTTCCAAGTTCATCACATTATAATTACTATTCAGTGTCTTTTGTAACTACCCCGATTGTTTGTTTAGCGTTGACCAAAATATCGGTCGATGTGAGACTAAAAAAAAAATTCCACGCGTCTGTGGTTCCTGGAAAATCTTTGAACGGATCGAGCTTTCCTATAGAAACCTACACCACGGTCCAGAATGTCCTTGCTCTTCAGCTCCTCCGAGTTCTACTCCTGATCCTATTCACTAGTTTCCGAGTCGTTATTCACTGGTTCTTCTTTGTTCATCAGCTGACTGAATAGAATACCAACTACCCGCCATAACTGGTTAAATAACAAATAAATTAGCCTAAAATCTTTTAGAAAGTCTTAAAATTGCGAATGATGAGGAAAATGCAATTAGATACTTATTTAACGAGTTTTCGTCGCTTTATTACCTTTAGGCATAACACTATGCGTGATTTCATTCCAACCAAAACATTTCTACAAAATATAAACCTGAAATGATCTTTTTTTTATGTAATAAGTCGGCAAACGAGCAGCCGGATTACCTGATGGTAAGCAATCAGCGCCGCCCATGGACACTCGCAACGGAGGAGTTACGAGTGCGTTGCCGACCTTTTAGGGATTAGGGATTTGGAGATTTAGGGATTGGGGGAGGGGAATGATTGGGCCTCCGGTAACCTCACTCACGCGGCGAAACACAACGCTGTGGTTATTTCACGCCGGTTTTCTGCGAGGCCGTGGTATTACTCCGGTCGAGCCGACCCATTAGTGCCGAAGCATGGCTCTCCCACACTTTCCTGATCATCCCACATTTTCACTGATTCCTGAAAAAATATCCAAAACCATATTTTACAAGTCCTAATCAATACCCAATACATATGCACCTTCAATAAAATAATATCGTTGTACACATACGAGCTTAGTTCTATAGAGATGTCATAGAGGTTTGTGTGTGTGTGTGTCTCTGTGTGTGTGACATATGCCACACTATCATTACATGTTAAATACTAAAAGAGAATCGATAGCGTTCCTAAGTAATACCTGCTACAAATGACATCATATTTTTATTCCTCGAAGAAGCACACCCCATGGTCAACCTATAAATGCCCACTGCTGCAAAGGCCTCTTCTCACACCGATGACTTTTGAGCAATTATCACCACGCTTGCTCAAGGCGGGTTGATTTCAAACTTGCCTATAAATGATTAGTCTATTAGTAATTAGTATAAGTTTCGTCACGAAAACGTCGAAGAAAATTTTTAAAAGTACATTGTTCGTCGGAAACAGTCGCATTGGGACTTGGCAGGTTTCGAACTCGGACGTTCATATTTGGGAGACATATATAGACAATTTTACACTGTAGGTAGTATGGAATCTGAATGTGGGACTGAGGGTTTAGCAACGGTACTTTATTGTGTATTATTAATTATATCCGCATAAAATAGCATACCAGTTTAATTAATCATACTTTGTGTCAGTTATAAAATTGACATTTGAAATTTCAATATCTAAAACGTCACTTACACGAATTCTGCGCTCGAGTTAGCAAACAATAAATCTTTACAATAACTTTTAATATAATGAAAATTATTTAATTAAACATACCTAACAAATCTTTTAGAATTAATTTTCCTGGGGTAACCTTTATCTTAGATGATTTTAGATAGAAAACAGGAAATGGTATCACTTGTTATCACTTTTCCGTCATTCGATTTGTAACTTAAGTTTGGGTACGACCACGACCAACATGGCTGTACCTACTGTTACACCTTAATAATAATTAGAAGTGTAGGCACAACTAGACGAGAGATTTTTTTATGTATTAGGTCGCCAAACGAGCATACGGATTACCTGATGGTAAGCAATCAGCGCCGCCCATGGACACCCGCAAAGGAGGAATTACTAGTGCGTTGCCGACCTTTTAGGGATTAGGGATTTGGAGATTTATGGATTGAGGAGGGATTGGGGGAGGGAAAGGATTGGGCTTTCGGTAAATTTTCTCTCCAGCAAAAAGGTATACCTTAATACCTGATAGAACCAGTAGTTACACCTGCTGTGCAAAAATCTGCATTGTTTAAAATATTGGTCATTCATTGATTATAGGAATAAATCGGACTAAAGGTGTCCTTAAATGAAATGTCCACAATATATTTTATCTCTTTATTGACTAGAAAGCTTCTAAATAGTAGATCTCAGTGTAGTGTAGGCAGAATAAGTAGACCTGATGATGTTCATGAAGTAACTGAAACTTAAAGTTGCCATCCCACCAGCAGTCAGAGTCATAGTCTTCTGTGAATTCTGTAACATCACCAACACAATCTTCTTGTTCACTTTATTGAAATTCTCCCATTTGCAAGCGTAAACGGCCTCTTCAAATTTTATATTAGCATCCATTATCTTCTGTCCTAGAAAACAGTCTGTTCCCAACTGAGACAATGTGAATGGTACTTGTAATATCGTGTTGTTTAACCCGCCAAGTAATTCCGCTATCAGGCCAACAATTAGAAACAAGAAACCTATAGCATTCGGTCCCCTCATCACGTCTTCGATTTCTTCTAGAAGGGTCACGTTGAATGAATGTTTTTGTATGATATCTTTTAAATGTTCCGCCACATATTCATTTAGGACTTCTGTTTCTTTTACACTCTTTAATTTCTTATTTCGTAGGTATACCGATTCATAGCTACTCAATTCTTTTATCATTGTCTGATAATATTCATTAGCGTCATCCCAGATATGAATCATTTCTTCAGCTAACGCCAACATTTGGGATTCTGTGTAGCCAGTGATCATGATAAGGAAACAAGTGACGTTGGCTACAGTGAAACAAATGAAGAACACACTGATCATGGTCGTAAAAACAGCCAACTCGTAGTTAGGAGACTTAAACATTGGCTCCAGACCTGAAAGATGGAACAAAGTTTGCATTATTAAAGTCATACAAGGTACCATATGTACTATATGACCATCATTAGAATTTAAATATTGGATAACAAGCACATTAGAACGTCCTTGCTTTTATTGAACTCATAACATATCTAACGCGAGTGGCTTAAATAAACCCTACATTTGATATTTTCGAGGTAAGTAGTGTTTTATTTATTTCTCATACCAAGTATTATAAACGCATCCACAGTCAAATGTTGTCCAGGAGTCACCATGGGTCGCAGCACATATAGCACTGCATTCATATTTAGCACCAGCCAGCAAATGATCCCTCGCATCTTCACATTCCTTAAAGCTTTTCTCAAGTTTTTAGAAAACCTACTGCCTTTCACTGTCCGAGAATCACAGGCCAGGTATTTGTCTATTAAATTCTTGAACTTGTCTCTGAAAAAGGTAATTTGTTCAATTGTACTTTTGATTGACTGGTGGTTCTTACAAATATGATGTTTTATTTGTGGTGCAAATACCCACAAGGGACATTAATCTTGACTAGCTGATCTAGGAAAAGGAGTAGAAAAGCTCCAAGTAAGGCTGCATATTCAGTATAAGGGAATGCAGATATTCTTGATTTTCGAGTTATCATTTGAATTACAGAAAGGAATTCAAAATTTACCGGTTAGAAGATTATTATTCTAAGGGGTCTCACAATACAAAGAACTGGTCAAAATAGCAATGATTTGAAGAAAAAAAAAACAAGAGGAGTTAACCAAAGTGGTCTAACTATACTAACATGTTTCCAATAAACTTACTCATAGAAAATCATATAAAACAGCTTTATTAAAGCAACTTCACTTGTGCTCATGAGGGAGAAGACAATCATGGCCGCGCCCAGATCACCAGTCTTGTAACAGCGCCAAAATACAAACCAGATGCCAGAGATCACATAGACGTAGATGTAATTAGTGCTGATAATCGCCATTAGAACGTAAAATATAGTTGAAATTGCTGCAAATTTAAAGTACTAGGTATAATTAAAAGTAATCAATAAAGTATTCTAATAGATCACATGCAGTACATGTTCAATGCACTCGACTAGTTTCAACTGACGCCTGGAGCCCATAATCGGAAGCAACTGGACTAAATCTTATTACGTCACTAATTGATCGATCAGAGGTAGTCTCAGTTAGAGGTACGTGCTACCTCAATAACTCTTACAATAGTTATAGCGTACAAAAACAATAAAGTTAAGTAATTGAACGAAATTAAAATATTTAAATACAACTCCCTTTTTTAATTAAATGTCAGTACGTTGTTGAAGATTAAAGAAACCCATACATACTCGCTTTGCTCATATGGAACATAAGATGAATGGCTCTTGTGAAACATAAGAGAGTGAGGCATCGTCTTTCAATGAATCACAATTTCTTCTGTTGTTTGGTCGGTAATAAGTAATAAAAAAGTTTTTGTAATTACTACATACGTGTCTTATTCCTGCTGTCTACGTTGAGAGTCAACATTCTCAACATGGTGGACACATTTGACAACATTTCTGGTAGCTCACAGTACTCCAAACCAAATTTACGAAGTGTTGCCTTCATTGTCTTTTTTTATCAATTTGGTGATTTTACGCAACTCGGTTCTCTTGACATTTTCTGCTTTACATATCAAAACTATGGAATGAACTATCGCGGGTGGTGCATCCGAAGCTATTCGACCTTCAAACTCTTAAAAGAAAGAGCATCGTCTTCCTTAAAACGGGCAACACATCTCTAGTGTTGCTTTTGTCCATGGGGGGATCACTTAAAATCAAGCGGTACATACGTTTACTTATTCAAAAAAAAGCTGGTCAAAAATGTTCCATGGTACTTTAACTGATGGCTTTGTATCTTTAACTGCACTTTTTTATCTTTATCCTATTGATTGAATTTTAGCTATGCCTTTCGTACCATTATCGTTCTTAAACAGTATAAAATATTATAAATTCTCACAAATTAATTCTTTGAATATCTACCAACCGAAGTTAGTCACCGAAGTCCACTCTTAACAACTGCCTTTCAGTCCAACGCTATCATTAACTTTTACGCTATTCAAAAACTGAATTTCTATTTGTACCGAAGTTATTTGTTTTACAATATTGCAGTTATTAACTGTGTCGTCGATGTGTCATCGCACAGTTATCATGAAGCAATTTGTCGATACATCAACATTGTTGTTTGTATGAAAAGCGCGAAACGTAAAATTCAATTTTTCTACTATAGGTAATTTTAGATTATTGTGCAAGTTCTTTATAAAAATACTTTTCTTCTTTTCTACTCAATACTCCTTACTTATTTTTACTATTCTATTTATTTGTTTTTATTCTATTTCATAGTCGACCTTAGTGTCGTATACGCGGAGTATATTGATCGAAAGACCTGCATCAAGCAGCTGAAGCTGAGCATGATAATGCCACCAGCTGACAACTTCATTGTCTTCTGAGAATTTTGGAGCATCATCAGGACTATCTTCATATTAGAAAGATTATAGTTCTCCCATTTACAATCATAAACTGCTCTTTCAAACTTTAAGCTGGCATCCATGACCCGCTGACCTGTGAAACAGTCCATTCCGACTTGGGCTAAAGCGAATGGTATCTCCAGATACGTGTTTTCTAGTCCTCCTAACAATTCTGCTATTAGACCAACCCCTAAAATAACAAATTCCAAAGCTATAGCCCCACTATAGACACTTTCAACTTGATGTAATAAGTTAATATTTCTTCCGTGCGTCTTTATAATGTCCTTGAGATGGCTTTCTATATAATCGTTTATGACTTTGTTTCTTAATATTGTGTTTTCTATACTTTCTTCTAAAACTGCGTTCGTCTGATGTGTAACGTAATAGTGGGAATCTGCATCTTCCCAGAGGTGTAGCAGCTCTTCTGTGAGGGACAGCATTTGTGCTTCAATGTAACCGGTGACTACAATAAGGAATGCAGTGATGTTAGCTGGAAGGTAGCATGTGAAGATGACTCCTGCCATACACAGGATCGTGGCTATCTGGTAGTTTGGGTTCTGATCCATTGGTTCCAAACCTGTAAATTAAATTAAACTGATCTTTATACTATAAAATAGGTACATTAAATCCCTAAAAACTATGTTTTATTGGCTTTGTAACTTTTTTATTGGTGTTACTAATGTTCATGTGTGGCACTGATTGCTTACCATGAGATAATCCTTCTTCTTTTGATGATGGGACGAGATCAGGCGGATTACCTGATAGATAGATCAATAAGCGAACAGCGTCGCCCATGGACACCTACAGCAATGGAGGAGTAACGAGTGTGTTGCTGAGTGTGTCCTTGAAAATTTGGGGATTAGAGGCAGCATTGGCCTTCCGGTTACCTCACTCACAGGGCGAAAAGACCCTGTGGTTGTTTAACACCGGTTTTCTGTGGGATCATAGTATTACTCCGTTCGAACCACGGGGCTGAACTGACCCATTCATGGTGCCCCTAAACGTAAAGCTTGGCACTTTAAAAATATTTACTACTTAATGCTAACGAATATCCCTATATATGTTTATCCTCATATTTAACAAAGTATTAGCGAACCAATGTTGAATTGTATTACAAATGCCTACAGTCAAATTTAAGTCAACTAAAACAATCCTCTAAATGTTCTAACAAAGAACATCGGGTGCACTATATATTTTATGAACGGGCAAATGTAAAAACTATATCCATTTAGATTATCAATTGCTAAAAAAAATACTGTTGAAACGCACATTGATATTTATTTATTTAACAACTAAAACATTCCCAAATAAGTAAATCACATATAATACCTAAAGTACTATTAACTATTAATTTATGGTAATAAAAATACCACCCGAAGAATTAAACGCAAAAAATCGAAGTGGAATCCGGATGAATCCGGCATTTACCGCAGAGTGCTCGTTAGTACGAGCTTCATTAGAATTAGGCAAATGCTCGGCTACAATTTCTAATTAGCCGGCTATTCCAGATCCCTGTTACTAGGTGCAGGATTATGTGAACCAGATAATAGGTGGTCAATCCGAACCGAACTTTATTTCGCTCATCAAACGCAATACTCCCATACGAAACCTCATGTTGTCCCTATCATTCAATGACGTCAAATCCGGTAGTAACGAGAGTAGAAAATTCTTGTTCGCTGTCAATTTTGAATCTTCTTGACAGCTCGAAGTTGTCAGAATTTCCGTTACAAATGGCGCTATTTCATTGGTCGGTATTGGATCCTTTTCTTCTTCCTTTACTGGCCTTGTCAGAAGACTATCTTCGGTGGAATTGTTAGAATCATCATATGTATCATCTAAGAATTCTTCTGTGTTATTACTATCATATATTCTGTCGATAATATCATCAAAAAACGTCATTTGGTCGAAGTATTTATATTTTCTTTTTTCTCTTATTTTTCCTGGTGTATTCGTTTTATTTTCCATTCTCTTCTTTTCTTTCTGGTAATAATCTCTCACGTTACGCCATTTCTTCTTCAGAAGTGCCACTGTCAACAGAAATGCAATAAATATATTATTATGTTAGGCAGATAAAAATTTATCGTCCATTTTTACCTACATTGAAAATAAATTTGTAAATGCTACCTACTTATGATGTTATATTATGAATAATTTCATCATCAGCCTATAAATGCCAAGGCGTCTTCGCGCATAGAGAAAGAAATTGTCAACGAGAAAAAAAGAATAGAATTCATTCACCACGTTGTCCTAAGGCGGATTGGAGATTTTAAACTTATGATAAGAAATTATAATTTAACTTTACCGTATGACAATGGTGCCTAAATAATCATGAAAAGTACACAAATGCACAATGACACATTTGTACTTGCAAGGTTTCGAACCCGCATCCTAATGCTAGGCACCTTAACCGGGCCACCAAGACATACATTTTCTGTTTTTTAACAAACTAAAACATAAAATTATCCAATAACCGTGCCTAAGTTTATTTACGAAATTGATTACCACGTAATTATTTTGACCCTGAGTTTAGACCATGATTTGACATTTCATTGCAATTATTAATATTCGTAACAGCAACTTAACAAACGAACTTCGTGTCGTTTACATATTAACATTTACAAGATAATTGTTGTTATTAAAAAGTTTAAAAAAAAAACAGAAACCCTCAATTTATGCTTTCGCTATCAGAGACAGTTATTTAAAACTTAAATTAAAATATTATAGTTTATTTGTAGTAACAGCATCTCAATAAAAATAATAATGACTACGGCTCAATCATAATAATAATGTTGTACTTAAAAAAGGAATTCTTTCTCATTCATCTTACCTAAGTAGATATGCCTATTAATAGAACGAAAAAAACTTAAACGACTTAGGTACCTACATAAAAATCCTGACGTTTAACCGCACTCGTCCGTGCCGCGGCCGTCAGAACGCAATGTTAGACAAAGATAGCAACAACTTACGTCTCTGTATTCTTTGTATTTCCGAGCAAACGTTCCAATCGTGGTATAAAGCCGCTGCAATTTCTTCCCATGCTTTAATCCTAGCATCGGCTTCTCCATGAGAACTGCGATTCCCACTCATCCACAACACATTTCTACGTTTAACTTCTTCTATTAATTTTGTCGTGTCGAAAACTGCCATGTTGACGCGCGGCGCTGTTACCGACCGGCGAACTGTTAGCATTCCCCGCCACGCGTTTTTACAACGTTGCCGTTCCGCTCTCCGCACTCCCCGGAGCGGCAACGTGATTTCCGTTCGACCTCTGTGATACGGACGGGATCATGAACGGAATAGTTGCAGTTTTTAACATATTTTCGCGGTTTGACATTCCGTAGACGGCGCGACGCACAGATTAAATTAATGTTGCAAGTTATTTAAAAGTTATAAGAGTAAAATAAAATATATACATTTTTTTTTATTTCACATATAAACTTTATTCAAATTATAATATTTTTATTTCAATTTAATAAATCCATATACTTAAAATGACTTTTATATTTGTATTTTTTACCGTTGTTAATTATATTGCTTTTTTCGTTCTGAAACTCTGATTCCTACTTAATTTACTTATTGTAAGCATTAAATTTATATTTTCTTCGAAAGTAATTCAAACGCAGTATAAATTTCGATAAACAACATATCGATAAAAAATCTTTTTTTTTAGCCGAGGCTCTGTCAAATGTCTATTCCCTTAGGTCACTGCTACGACCCCCCAAGAAGAATAAAAAAGAGTTTTCTTCTCTATCAACGACTTCACACGTGCACACGCCATCTTGCGTTCGCCGGTGTAAACTTAATTTTATTTATTGTCATAACCGATTTATATACACCATTATAAATATCAATTTTGATAAATATTGCTGTAAATCATAAATCATAAATCATAATATCTATTTATAGATAAAAAACAAAATTATTGAAAATATTGTAAGTAATTGTAATTGGAGCCTCCTTTTAAGCATAGCTTAAAATGGAGCTCCAATCTACCTATGTATTACATTATCTATTGTATAGATGTTTTTTAATTTTAACATAATAATAAATAACATACTTTACTCATAAAACTTTTTGACAAGGTGAGTAAGTGTGGGAAAGCCAAGCTTCGGCACGAATGGGTCGGCTCGACGACCGGAGTGATGCCACGGCCTCACAGAATACCGGCGTGAAACATCCACTGCGTTGTGTTTCGCCGTGTCTCCCCAATCCCTCCCCAATCCCTCCTCAATCCCTAAATCTCCAAATCCCTAATCCGTAAAAGATCGGCAACGCAGTCGAAACTCCTCCGTTGCGGGTGTCCATGGGCAGCGCTGATTGCTTACCATCTGGTAATCCATCAGCTCGTTTGCCGATCTACATGATAAAAACATACCATACTTTACTTATGAAACTTTTTGACAAGGAACTCAAAGCATGCTCGAGAGCTGTGAGACCCTAACGTAGCTTGAAACTAGTCGATTTCAAAGTTTGAAAGAGAGAATAGATTACCACAGATGGGGCCCAAGCCCAACAAGGCTGATGATCAGTCGGAGCGGGTGAAGTCGCGGATGCTAGCGTAGTACTTAATGTATCATAGCCTCGGTTTGGTGGACGCAAGTGGACGACAAGGTCCGGAGTGGTTTTTAGTCAGTAAGAGTGTGACCCTCCCTCTCGCCTCACACAGAGCGAGAGAAAACATTTATCATAAAACGGGGTGAAAAGATACACAAATGTTGGCGAAGTATCTATTTCCCCCTCTTTTGCGTCTTTTCATCCCTTGAATTCTATACACCTCATTTTACCGTTTAATATTCTGTCGCGTCAGAATGTTTGTGTAAGACAGTGACAACAACAATTTATTCCATAGATAACATTTATCTGACTATTGAAAAATCAACCCTCAATCGTTAAACATAAATTTTAATAATAACTAACTCACCATAAAGTATAAACTTATCTTCAGTAAAATGGCGGCCGGGCAATATGATTGGTTTGGCAACATACACAACACCATTGCCAATAATCACCACCCAGAACATCAGAGCTCGTTTCTTCACCACCGTCAGGGTCCTCAGTAGGTTGGTCGAGAACCGGGAACCAGCCACCACTAGGGAATCGCACTCCAAACATTCTGACACTATACGCCGCACTTTGCCACTGAGCACAAAAAAAAATACAACCTCAGTAAATAATAATTGAAATTTAGTTAAGTACTTTATTTTATGTAATTATTATGTACAATAAAATTTCCAATCGATTTTTTTATTCTAAACTGTTGTAATATTATTTTTATATACCGTCATCAACACTTTTTCTTAAAGAGCAAGGGTGCACACATACATTTATGCCACATGCATATGTATATGCATTATGTACTTGTGCACTCACTTTTCAGCGGTTATATTATTATGAATGCCATGGTGTGAGCCTGTTTCCTTTTACCGGATACAATTCCAGGCTCTCTCCAAAAACTCCTAAATAATCGTTGCCCGACATGAAAATCGAATTCAAGACCTCTGCAGCTTAGCCATTCAACCGACGAGTTAGCCAAAATTAAACGAGCATTCAAAATTAAAAACAATAAGTAACATTTTAGAGACACTGACAAAACATCCATAAACTAATTTCAGTTAATTAAAAAGATGAAACTAATTTGAAAGTTCAAAACATTATCAACTGTTAAGTTAAAATTTATAATTGCTTGTCTCCTTCAGTTTAGAAATGAGTTTTAAACTGTTTTTATTGTTAAGATCGTCTAAATAATTTGCACGACTCACTTTTGTAAACTTTGTATTTGTATTTATTTGGATCTCAAATAAAGATTGCACCTTACATACTAAAAATAAAACATGAACAGATACAAATCCTTGTGCATCTTCAAATAGGAGATTCCAACTTGCACTCACAACAAGATATCAAACAATCAATTATTATCTTTGAGGACTACAAACTGCCAAAACCTGCAATACATGTAAGCCGCGCGGTTTCGGGGTAAGCGCAATGAGTCACCGCGGCCTCAGCCGAGAGCAGGAGAAGAAACGGAGGCGTTTTTAGTTAGAAAAAGTCTGACACTAGGCGGGACAACAATGTGGAGATCACACAATGAATATACACCAAGATACATGTACCTACAAGCTGACTTAACGCCATTGTCTTACCAGGCCATGGTACTACCCCTATCCGGACTAAGAAAGGAACAAGTTGGTTTTTAGTCAATAAGAGTCTGAGACCTCCCCCAAGGCGAAAGAAGCATTTGAAGATTTTCCACCGTCAAAAAACCAAACATACTCACATATGTAAGAACATAAAAATCAGCTTAACAGTTCCGATCTCGCTGGAGACTCCCAAGGAGAAGACGATGATGGCTGCCAGAAGATCACCGGTCTCTTGACAGCGGTGGAATACGAACCAGCTCATAGACACCAGGTATACGTAGAAATAACCCAAACAAATTGAGATGGAGACTATGTACACCACAATCGGGATAGCTGGAAATATAGAAAAGATTTTAAAATTAGCAGTGTACCTTTTTTATTTTATTTTTTTTATAGATAAAGACGTTGGCCTGCTCTAGGATTTTGTTGTATGTCGTGGGTGCGTTTACAAAGATACACATCACACGTAGGCTCGGCACAACAATTTGTAGATCACACAAAGAGCTGTTCCGTGTGCTAATCGGACCCGCGATTGGCGCAGCAGCCAGTTGCAAAGCCACCGCGCCAATCATCCATTCGCTCTGTTACAAATATTATAAAGAAGAAAGATTTGATTTATTTTGGGTTTGATTTTAATATTGCTTAGAAAAAAACTGCCACAAATAATTTGATTCTTCACTTTATACTACAAGGAAGAGACAAATGAATGTCAGTTCTAATCAATCCAGCTAAGAAGAATAGGATTTCTTTCAACAGAATAATCAAATTCCAAGAGAACTAAAAATTCTGAACAAAATTTATCACTTGGATTTACTGAGAAAAGCTATAAGCACTAGAATCACGTAGAAGCACGCCGTGGTGACGTGAAGAGTCCCATTGTGACTTAAACTAGTAGAGCTTTTCTCAGTTCATTCACGTGACTAAGTCGTTATTTTCAATAAACTTTGTATGGCTCACAATAGTTTTTTTATAGTATAAGTCGGCAAGCGAGCAGACAGATTAGCTGATGGTAAACAATCGGCGCCGCCCATGGACACCCGCAGTGGAGGACTTACGAGTGCGTAGCCGACCTTTTATGGATTAGGGTTTTGGATATTTAAGGATTGGGAATGGATAGGGGGAGGGGGAGGGATTTGGCTTGCGGTAACCTCACTCACACAGCAAAACACAACGGTGTGTTTGTTTCACGCCGGTTTTCTGGTGGTAATGGTATCGCTCCGGTCGAGCCGACCCATTCGTGCCGAAGCTTGGCTCTTCACAACTAAATACTATATAAAAAATATTTACAAAAAACCCTTACGTTTCTTATTACGCCTGTCAATATTGAGGGTCAAACCTCGCAGCATGACGGAAACGTTCCACAGCATTGTCTCCACGTCACAGTACTGCGGCCCAAACCTTCGGAGAGTCTCCATCATTAGGTCTTTGTTTGCTATGAAAGCCTGCAATCAAACCGGCCGTGACCGCGTCTGTTCAAATACTGAGCTACGAGTTATAACAGTATTACTTGTAAATTTTATTGTTCTGCATGTAGGTTTGTATTTAAACTAAGTTACGATTGTAAGGTTATTGAAATCGAAACCGTCAGGGATTGGTCATTACTGATGTGCTCAAAATAGATACCAATTGTGTTAGCGTTTGTCCATAAAGACCTCGTTTACGCAAACGCGGGGAATCGCGCGTTTTCGTGGTTTTGTCGCATCTCCCCGCGTCATCAATGTATGACGGATCACTTAGCCTATCTTTATTAAAGATATATATTAGAAAATTGAAAAAACCACCCTGGTTCTACTTTCTGAAAACACAGTGTCTCTTTCTTAAACGCATGATGCGATCGTGTAGCGTATGAATGGACATGGCGTTTTTTCGTTTGTCTGCTAGTTCTGCTAGTGCGATGACGAAAAACAACCAAGAAATTAAGTTCAAGTCTTTTAAAAACCATTTAGCAGGTCTCATTTCACCAGCCAGCAGCCTAGTAGTCTTTATTTAAATTTAAAATTCTTTAATAATAACAAAATTAATTTTAATATCTACATTCGCAAACCTAAACAAAAACGGTTTTCTTAAATGTATAAGAGAACTCTTTGTTAATGTTACAAAAAAAAACAACAAGAACTTTACAAAAATACGATTCTTTTTTTGTAAATCCTAAAGACGTTCAACAAACAAAAATTTAAATATGGAAATCGTTCGGCAAAACTCGAATGATAATCATAAACAATTTCTTTTTTTATTCGACACGCCTATAACTTTTTCCAATGATGTAAAAATGCTTTGTCTGTAAAATCTGACCCTTTCCAGGGCAATATACAGAAAATTATACGGTATGAAGGCAAACTTAGTCCAAAGAAACATTAGAAGTTGTAAAGAATCTTTTTTCTTTTAATGTTCAACTGTGAGAAAGTCGAAATGTGTTGTAGTTGTTTTAATTTTTATTTCTGTAAGCGAGTAGGTACTTAAGATATTTTTATAACGAAAATATTAAATTTAATTTAATGTAAATGAGCTGATTTAAATAAAATGTAGGTACGAAATACTTAATTTAATTTTAATTTTTCACTCTTTCCCTTACTATAAATAAGTTTAATTGCGGTTGTAAGTTTATCTTCGGTAGTCTCGCACTCCTTCTCGCTTCACTCAGGGAGGAATTTGATCATTGTGTCGTTTTATAAAAAACATCCCTGGCACATTCTACCAATTGCAGTCATAGTAAAACTGTATAAATATTAGGTAATATTTGAAAATAGTCATTTCAGAATAAGAATTTTTTATTTAACTTCCAATGAATGAATGTAGGTAACATACATATAATTACGTTTGTAAAATAAAATCATACAATTTTTTTTTTAATTTTGTACACGTGTTTTGTATGCACGACAATAAATACTAAACATGATAAAATGCCTCTAAAATGTTTATATACCAGTTAATTAGTCCAAGAGCTAATTTATAAAAGCATTTTAAATTATTCCTTTTTTCATTTCATTTATTCAATAATACTTACAGGACCAGAATTTTTATCTACAAACAGGTAACTAGCCGCTTTCCAAGTAACTACTGCATTTGACTTTAAAATAATTCCCCTAGTTATATACCTAAAAAGGAGGTCGAAAGGCTACTGAATACTGTATAATTAATAAGACTGAATGATAAAGTGAGTGACGCTTTGGCTATAGGTAATTATACGTTACAATAAAAGATACCGATTGCAATCGAAAGTGTAAGAGAAGCAAGCTTCGGCACGAATTGGTCGGCTCAACTGAAGTGTTACCACGGCCTTACAGAAAACCGGCGTGAAACAACCACAGCGTTGTGTTTCGCCGTGTGAGTGTGGTTACCGGTAGCTCAATTCCTTCCCCTCCCCCATCCCATCCCAATCCTTAAATATCCCAAACCCTTTTCCCTATTAGGCCGGCAACGCACTCGCAATTACTTAGGTGTTGCGAGGTTCCATGGGCGGCGCCGATTGCTTACCAGCAGGCATTCCGTCTGCTAGTGTGCCGACGCATACCATAAAAAAAAATAAAAAAGATTCTTTCAGTGAGGAGAAATTCTTCTCATGACTTCTGAGAGTGTCAGATTCTTACTGACTAATAACCATGCCGGTCCTTCTCCTGGTCCAAGCCGGGGATGTGGAAAATTATCGCGCTTGCTCCACAACCCTGGCTAAGCGTCAGCCCTTTTGGGCACCATCTGTGGTAGACTGTTGACTCTCTGTGCCGTCATGTATGCTGCTCATGAATGTTAGTCCCGGTGACCCGGTGATCGGCGTGACTTGGAACTTGTAGAGTTAATTATCAAATAGTTCACAAGAGTAACACGTATGCTTTAATTAATTTAGCTTATTTAACAATGGTTAATTTTTTTTTTAACTTACAAAACAAACTCTTACACATATAAAGTTTAAACGTCGTGATGGCCCGAAGATTTAAGTGCCTGCTTCTCAAGCACGATTCGAGACCTGAGTCATATGACTCAAAATGAGTACTTTCTAAGTCTATTAAGACACCACACTGGCTGACATAAGGTAAATAAAAAATTAGTGAGAAAATTTGGACTTATAATTTCTAATTATAAGTTTGAAATCGCCAATCAGCATTGCGATCAATGCTCCAAGTTCCAAACTTCTCCGTATGAGAAGAGACCTTGCTTGCTTAGTTCTTGGAATAAACACTTAAGAGACATTTTAAACATTAAGAGACTGTTTACAAATCTAATAAAGCTCAATCGGTAGTCAATATTTGCTTCAACGATTAGATGCAAGATTCCCCTCCACATACATGCATTCATTTATTTATTTTTTGTGAGGGGAAAGTCATCAAAAGGCTTCTCCCGCCCAGGGCCGGGGGGAGGGAGTGTCAGACTCTTACTGACTAAAACCCTTCCTTCTCCTGCTCTGGGCCGAGGTCGCGGTGCCTCATTGGGCTTACCCCGCAACCCCGGCTGAACATCAGCTCTATAGGGCCCCGTCTGTGGTGGTCTATAGGCTCTTTAAGGCGCACGTGGAACGCTACGCGCCGCACGCTCGGGCCTGGTTCTGGTCGGGCGGCGAGCTGCCCTAACTCGCCGACCGCAGACCCGCGCTTACGATGGCCGCAGTTCGTCCCTTGATCCCCGACGCCCGTAGTGTCGCCTGTTGCGGCGGCTGGTTCGTGAGGAGGGGGATTGCTCCCTCTCGCGGGCCGCCTCCCTCTTTGCGAGCATAACTGCTTCACAGAAGTGCTCTCGCTCCACACCATGGCCTCGACTAAGGCCGGGCGCAAGAGGTCGCCGCCGCCGATCACTTCCCTGAAGACACGGTGGTGCTCAGCCCAGGCAGGGCATACCGCCACCGTATGCTCCACCGTATCCTCTAGGTGGTCCTCGCAATGACGAAACTTGGTCGTTTCCACCCGCTGGATCCAAAACAGGAACCTACCGAAGCTGCCGTGTCTGGTAAGAACCTGCGTCAGACGGAAGGTGAGGACGCCGTGGCGTCTCTCAAGCCACTCTTCAAAGAGGGGTCTTACCGCTGTTATAATAGTGTGCCCGATTTATAGTGAAGATAATATCTTCAAATTACTTTTCGCTCTTATGAGGCTTATCTCTCGCTTATATGAGGCGTGAGAGATTGTTGGACTCTTACTGACTTTAAAACCACCTCGTTCCTACTCCTCCTCCAACCTGGCCGTGTCTGCTGTAATGGTCTGCTGGCTGTTTGAAGTGTGTTCTTTCGCTTAATATACTTTTAAATCCTGCAAAACTAAAAGCGCTTTATTTGCTAACCACCGTATTTCGGACAAAATAGTAGCGTGGGATATTTAATGGCGATGAATTCAAGTAATAACATGGCTGGTCTGAATTTTGTATTTAATCGATTTCGCGAACATTCAATTTGCGGTGCAGCTGACTACCGAACTATATTCTCAAATGAAATTATAATAAAGAATGACTAATCAACTTTTGAAGCATGGCATATTTTGTCCAACTCTCGCATTGGGCTAAAAGTGCTTAGAGATTTTAGAATTTAAATGACCATTGTTAGCCCAGAGTCAAGAAATTTGGCGGTATTTCATTTTGTATGCACCAGAAAACAAGTAGGCTGTAAAAGTCCTGCAAGAGACTTCTCTTCCGTTCTTTTTTTACGTGAATGGTTAGAGTGTGGCATTCAGCGCTGCCCATGGACACCCACAACAATCGGGGAGTTACGAGTGCGTTGCCGACCTTCTGTTGCTATTCAGCTCAGCTCTCAAGAACAACCATTTATAGATCACACAAAATGTTCCGCGGCACGTAGCACAACAGCCAGTTGCCCAGCCACTGCACCAATCGTGCTGTCTACTCACGATCAGGTCAGCTCACTCGGCGTGTTGATGGGCTCAAAAGTCAAAAATCAATTATTTCAATTAGCATTACATGCACTTTTGAACGTCATTTAGTAGAGCTGTCGATAAATGTAAATATAAAATCTAAATATGTATTCTTGTAGTTGTCATGGTTAGTTGTAGTACTCTACATCTGTAAGATCGATACTTTAAAATATTAATTAGAATACAATGTAAATTGTATTACAAGAGAACGGGCCTAATGTCTGTAGAGAGATAAAATAAATATTAGGCATAAAAAAATATTTTTAAATTGTAGAAAGAGAACGCAGAGTTCGCTTTTTATAATTTAAACTGTGCGAGGTTTGCGCGTTTATTTTACGTAAAAACGACACATTAATGACGTTGCGCGCTCTGATTGGCCCGCTCCAGGCTAACCAACCAATCAGAGAGCTAAACGCGACAACTATTCGATGGCCACAACGTAAAGCATACGGGCACTTGGCATTCAGGTAACGTGCTACTTCACGTTAAACTGGTCGAAACGAGCTGTTTGGGGTAATTTGTTAGCGCACTATTTGGTAGCTGTTTAGAGCTAATCTCGCCGTGGTTTGTACAGTGTTCCCGCGTGAAAAGTT